TAAATGGTATACATTTTCCCTTTAACAACAATTCTTACAAACCACAAACTTAGCCTGCAGAAATTGACATTGTAGACTAAACATTTACCATGATTTTTAGAAAAGCATATCATAATTATCACTTTTTCCACTGAACCAAAAGGAGCCAGAGACCACAAACATTTTCCATTTTCCCAACACTGACAGGTACAATATTTACAGTAAGCATTAAAAAGCCAAAACTATAGACAATATAGACAATTTTTATTGAATTAATGACTTTTGTAATCATAACAAATTAGGTTTCTATTAATTTCAATACAGTAAAAATTCAAACTCAAGATCATCCAAAGCAAAAGTTAAACAACAAACCTAAATGATGATTAATAAGTTGCTCTATATAATGTTAAATCTAAGTATGAACATACACATGGACCTGTTTTTCCCCTAATGCTCTAAAGGCAAGGTCTGTGTTAAGGAACTAATGCCAGGTTTAATCCAAGTCTACTAGACACTAACTAATACAATCAACTTGGCCAGCCTGTCCCCAGCTATTAGATTCATATGTATGATATATACTGACATATGTATATATGTTCAGATCAAATCCTGTTAAAACAAATACCACTTTAACAAAAATATTTCCACATCCCAGCCAATGGTCCATTCATTTCATGTAATATACAATACCACAAAATTCCACTTTAACAGAGATACGGACAATGCCTTAAAATCTGCTATAATGAAAAGTGAATTGTATGCAATTATATTAACCATATTTATATACATAACATATGTTCATGTGTTCTGTCTCTTCTCCAAGACTATACACTCCCCCAAAAGAATGGGCTGTCTCTGATCTACATGCTGCAAATTAAGAGAAATTCAACAGTGCCACCTCGTGGATATTCTATAAAGTGAAATGCCTGGCTCTAAAATATTTGAGAAGCAAAGGGGGGAGGCACTAAAAACATAGAAAGCAAACAATGAAACAAACAGATTTTTCTGAGGATGGAAGGAGGCATACTCTCACTTAGTTAAAAGGACTTACGAGGAACGAGTATAATTGCTGACTTAAAAAAATGACCCCAACCTTTTCTTGGAGTAAGATGCAGCCTGATTCAACAGAAAGCCTTAAGACACTTTTGAGTTCTGGTTTCTGGATATAAAATGTACAGAGAAGATGCATCACAGATACACTCACCTTACTTAAATTTACCTGTAAGTTTTCTCATATAATTAAAAGCATCTCTGCCTGTCTCTCCCTCTCTCTCTCTCTCTAATTAAAAGTAAGTATTACTGAATTGAGGTATAAACCATGTATTCTATGCTTAGGGCCAACTTCAGGGACTTTTCCAGAGTAATCTTAACAGTAAATGATACTAGCTGTTGCACTAACTTTTATTCTTTTAATTTTTATTGTGATTTGGGTGAAAATTTACAGAGCAAATTCACTTTCCATATAGCAGCTCACATAAACTTTGTCTCATGACATTAACTACAATTTACTACAATGCAACAGCTCCCCTCCCACTTCTACCCCATAGTTACCTCTTTCCCAGTGTGCTTCCCTCTCATGCACTCCTGCTGCCAGAGCTGTCTCCCTGTGCATAGAGCCCTTCTATTCTCCCATGACTGACCTCTCCAAGGAGTGTATCTACCTAATGTTCTCATATGCCTATCTTTTGTTTGGCTGGAAGCCACAGGAATGGGTTCAATTCCAGACCTGACAGGCCACTAAGGGCCACAGTCTCAGTGGCTCCATCAGGTTCTATCACACCAGCAATTTTTTCTTTTTAAATGATTTTAAGTTTTGTTCCGAATTATTCTCCCACTCTATCCAGGATCTCAAAGAGAGATCCCCCTCCAAGTGGTTGACAATGGTAGGTAGCCGGGCACCATCTAGTTCTGGTCTCTTAGTTGTATAGATTGAGGATCACATGGTATACCAGTCACTTGGACTAACTGTTTCCATGTGTCTGTTTTTCTTCATTCTTCTTTGCTCTGGATGAGGAGAGACCCATTGTTGCATCTAGATGGCCACTTAGAAGCTTTTGAGATCCCAGTTGCTACTCGCCAAAGTAGGATGTGGAACAATGATTCTGTGTAGTATGTTATGCCAATTGAGCTTGATATCCCCGGCGACTACGGTCCTAAGCCCACAGGTCCAACTACTTGCTCCCTCTGGGTAGCTGGCTGTGGTCAAGAAGTGACTGCAACCTTGTCCCTTAGCAGCTCTACTATATACAATTCTTACAGAACATACAAAGATACTTGTAGAAACACTGTCTTCCAACCCTGTACATGATCACAGGCACACTCTCCCCTATATAGACATACCTAACAGTTCAGCCTGTCCATCCATCTATCCAACCCTACATCAGTGTTTCCCATCACTGACAACACAGTACTGTATGTGCAAAAGGGTTCAACTTTGTTGTCTGTACCGCCTATGCACCTCTCTATGTCTTCCTCTTCCACGGTGCCACTGTGTTGATCGCTCACATTTGGTACACTGCCCTTCTCTTCATCCAAATCAATACTTGTCTCTACTTATCTAACAGTGTTCCATCCCCTCCCTTCCCACCCCTGGTAACCAACAAAGAAAATTTCCTTCCATATATAAACCTTTCATTGACTTTTTACAATAATGGACTAATACTGTATTTGTCCTTCTGTGACTGACTTGAGCTTGGCATAATATCCTCCAAGTTCATCCACGTTATGCAGTGTTTTGCCGATTCTACATTGTTCTTCTACATTATTCTACATTATTCTTCAGTATTCCATTGTGTGTATGTACCACAGTTTGGTTATCCATTCTTCTGTTGATGGGCACCTAGGTTCTTTTCATCTTTTGGCTATTATAAATAGTGCTGTGATGAACATGGGTATGCATGTATCTGTTCTTATCCTGGTTCTCACTTCTTTAGCATATGTACCTAGTAATGGAATGGCTGGATCAAATGGTATTTCCAATTCCAACTTTTTAAGGAATCACCAAACTGCTTTCCGCAGTGGTTGTATCATTTTACAGTCCCACCAGCAGTGTATAAGAGTCCCAATCTCTCTGCATCCTCATCAGCATTTGTTATTTTCTGTTTTGTTGAACTTTGCTACTAGCTGTTGCACTAACTTTTGAATCAACATCACTCACCCCCTACCACCACCACCAGGACCAAGATGTATGATTTGGGGCATCTCACTTAATTTCTCTTATCTTCCTCTTCCTTACATATGTAAGAAACATGACTAAGCGATGGCTAAGACCCCTTTTAACAATTAAGTACTATGATTCTAGAAAGAGGGGGCTCACATTTTGCTTTTCTAGAGATATTAATGGAAGAAATTAAGCAAGTCGTGCTACATTTCAACACAAAAAGAAGATTCAAAATTCTCTAAGCTCTCAAATACCCTTTCACACTCTCATTGTAGAAAGCAAATTTATAAGCTTTGAAAGGATTAGAAATCAGAAGTTTATCAGTTTGCAGCTCCAGGTTGCAGGTCTGAGACCTGAGTTCAAGTCCTGTTTGCTATGTTGTTGTTACGTGCCATCAAGTCAGACTAACTCGTAGTGACCCCTCCTCCTTGGGTTTCCAAGGCAGTATCACTACGGAAGTAGCTCGCCCAACCTTCCTTCCGAAGAGTGGCTGGTGGGTTTGAACCGCCAGCCTTCTGGTTAGCAGTCAACTGCCTTAGGTACTATGCTAGTAGTACTTAGAACATGCAGTCCAGCTGCACTGTACTGTGAACTGCAGAGAAGCTAACTGAAGAGCTACTCTTTGAAGAACCACCCTGTAGCTCTGATAAGGGGTAGGGCTAGTACCAGTGGCACTGGTTCATCCCTGGCTATTTCTAAGCTTACTTTAGCATGGCAGCTGTAACCTCTAGACTACAACGCTCTTATCAGAGGCAAATGTCCTGACAAGTATATTTCTCTTTAGGAATGAAATCTCTGTATCTAACCTAACCAGTTGCCATTGATTTGATCTCAATTCATGGTAACCCCATGTGTGTCAGAGTAGAACTATGCTCCACAGGGTTTTCAAAGGCTGATTTTTCAGAAATAGATCACCAAGCTTTTATTCTAATGTGCCTCTGGGTGGACTTGAACATCCAACATTTCAATTAGTAGTCATGCATGTATTAACCATCTGCACCACCCAGGGACTCCCTATCTAACCTAAACCCAAAATCACTGCCATCAAGTTGATTCTGACACATAGTAACTCTACAGAACAGAGTAGAACTGTCCTATAGGGTTTCCAGGGCTATAAATCTTTACAGAAGTAGACTGCTTCATCCTTCTCCCATGGAGCAACTGGTGGATTTGAACTGCCGGTCTTTTGGTTAGCAGTTGAATACCTTAGCCACTGCACCACCAGCACTCCTATCCCTAGCTAACCTAACCAACTTTAAATTTAAAAAGAGGACAGAGAAAGAAAGAAAAGGGGAGAAGGGGGAGAACAAAATTAATGAGCAATCAAAAATCAAAGGAAACTTAACCAAGGAACTAAGTATGTATGTGATTGTGCCTATGTATATGAGACAGACAGAAAACGGGAGAGGGTGGTGAGAGAGAGGACACAAAACAAACTTCAAGAAATGTAATAAAGGCGTGTTACTGGTTTCCCCAGTGCATTTTTGCCATTTCCTTAAGTGTCACTTCAGATATAACTGAACATCTTAAACTTTAGTATGCTTCTTGAGCATAAATACTGCAGGAAAAAGAGTCCCGTATTTTTAAAAAGTACCATACAATGGCAAAATGCAGGCTGTATACAGACTACATCAAAATCAAAAGCATTCAGTGATCAACACTATTAATCCCAGAAACTAGGTAGATGCTAAATTATTAATTCCTCAATTGACATATATTAAAATGTCATATGTGTACAAAGAGATGCTGCCTTGCACAGTACTCAGCCATTTATTTCACAAAATTATCTACTCAGCTCCACCTAAGCTCTTGAATTGGGCATTCTTCCACTGCTCAGCTTTTAGAAGACAAAAGTAATTACCTGGTAAAGCGGTAATAAAGTCCCGCTGCAACATGGGCTTCAGATAAGAGTTAATATGTCCATGCTGATAATGACACATTCGTGAAATAAGATGTTCCACAAATTCCACTTGATCTGATTCAGACCACTGGTCAAAATACTTAATACACAAGTCTTTTTCTTTTTGATAGTTTCCTTCTGATGGCCTCTTTCTGGAGACGATCACAGATGATGTTCCATTACTTATCTATTTAAAAAATAAAATAAAATAATAATTAGTTTGACAAGGGAAATAAATCCAATTAACATTTCATTAGAAACATTCTTCACCCTGTGTATTTAATCTTAAAATACCAGTTTCACCCTAAAATCAAATGTATTCCTTTATTAATTCATTCAGAATTAATTAAAATATATATATTCAGGCCCCATGTCCTCAAATTAGTCACTAAAGTAAATGCCGAAGTTAAATGGTGTCTTAAGTCATCCTTCTCCTATGCTTATTCCAGAACCATGTTATTATTAGACAGCTAATGCTGGAGATGACCAACTTAGAGGAACTACTGAACTTGGCAAAGTGACAACTGATTGACTCTTAATAGTTTGTTTTGTTTCTTCAAAATTGAGTGATAATGTTATATACAGTCCAAGTCAATGGTTCTCAAATTTGCACGCACACATCAGAATCACACAGAGGGTTTGCTCGGCCCCACCCCCAGAGGTTCTCATTCTATCCATCTGCATTTCTAACGACTTCCCAGATAATGTTGATGCTGCTAGTGCAGAGACTACGCTTTGAGGACCACTGATCTAATGGAAAAGACAGAAAGTATGTATGCTAAAACCTAGAGGTAATTCAATCTAAAAGCTTCATTTTACCTAACAGTTTCCATCTCCTTTATACAGTTTCCTAGTGTGACTAAACTGCTGGCAAAATTATGTCTCCCTTCTTTTAATCACCTGCTCAGAAAGTGACCCTAGGTCAACTATGAGTGCCTGAAAATTTCCCCATCTTGTATAGCTAGCTGGCTTGTACATAATCCACAGATTTCTACACTAACAACGCCTTTCTCACCAAATCTACCTACATAGCCTTGCATAAAATCAGTATATACACGCATACCTCAGTGATATTGCAGGTTCAGTTCCAGAACACACCAACAAAGCAAATATTGCAATAAAGCAAGTCTCACAAATGTTTTCATTTCCCAGTACATATAAAAGTTATCTTTACACAATACTGTAGTCAATTAAGCATGCAACAACATTATGAAAAAGTTTGAAATACTGTGTAAATTACCAAAATGTGACACAGAAACATGGAGTAGGCATACACTATTGGAAAAATGGTGCCATGAGACTTGCTTGAAGCAGTGTTGCCACAAATCTTTAATTTGTTTAAAAAAAAAAAAAAAAACACCAGTATCTGTAAAGCACAATGAAGTGAAATACAGTAAAACAAGGTATGCTTGTGTGTATGTGTGTGTCTGTGTGTATACATACACAATTTTTTTTTAATTCCATACACTGTGCCAGGACAATAGCATCAAAAATTAAGCTAGGACTATCACTAATGCCATGAGGCCAGTAACTTCCTTGTTCAAAAACAACACAACCTCAGTATTTGACAAGCCACCTGTCCATCACACTCCTCTGATAGTCCTTTTGGTATATAATATTATAAGGAAAAATATGTAAGAGAATTTTAAGAACGAAAGAATTCCATTATAAATATCTACTAATTCCATTAGGAGCCTATCACTGAAGTCTTACACAGAAAGAATCAAGAGCTTTTGTTATCAGAATGTCCCCTAACTTAAAGTAGACTGGACTCATCCCAGAAAGAAGACATTCTTTATAAATATCCAAATGAGTCTGCAGACTTCCTTGACAAAAACATAACAAATTTTCCATGTCTTAAAGCAAGTTCTTATGTCCACATTTAGAGATACAAAGCAGGAAAAGCATTTATTTATCTTTCACTCTAGCCTACCCATTATCTAGGCATGTTTATTCCCTTTCTATCTTAGGCCAAGGAGCTCTCGTGGTGTAGTGCCTAATCGGAAGGCTGGCAGTTCAAACCCACCAGCCACTTCTCAGAAGAAAGACTGGGCAATCTACTTCTGTAGTAATACCACCTCGGAAACCCAAGGAGGGGTCGCTATGAGTTGGATCCGACTCGACAGCAATGAGTTTGGTTTTTTTATCTTAAGCACTGCTGGTGCAGTGGTTAAATGCCTGGCTGTCAAGCCAAAAGGTCAGAGGTTCAAATCCACAGTGGAAGAAACATGTGGCCGTCTGCTTACACAAAGATTACCTCCTTCGAAACCCTACGGGACAGTTCTACTCTGTCCTATAAGGATACTATGAGTCGGAATCGGAATTGTCCCACCGGCAACTGGCTTTGGTTTATCTTGGATCAGGAAGAACACACTGACACCAGGTACCACCAGAGGGTAGTAATGAACAGAAATCATTCATTCATTAACATGTGTTAACAGACCCCAAAATTAAGAGAGTTCAATACAGTCAAAGCTCCAATTAAATGTTTTCCTACGGTAAATATCGGCAGGTCTAAAGTACATCTTTGCTGCTTAGGCACAAGGATTTTACCACAACATTTATAATAGAGAAAAATTAGAAATAATTCTACTCAATTATAGGCAACCAGTTAAAATAAACTATAGGCATACTCATTTGACTGTGCTTCACTTTATTCAGCTTTGCAGATACTGCGTTTTTTACAAATTGAAGGTTTGTGGCAACCCTGTGTCAAGCAACAAGTCTATTGGTGCCATTTTTTCAATAACATGTGCTCACTTCATGTCTATATGCCATATTTTGGTAATTTTCACAATATTTCTAACTTTTTCATTGTGTAAAGATAACTTTTACATGCACTGAGAAACCAAAACGTGTGTGACTCACTTTACTGAGATAGTCATTTTACTGTGGTGGTCTGGAACCGAACCCACAGTATCTCCAAGATATCCTTGTATATGAACACATCTACACACAATGCTGTAATGTAGCCATTAAAATCATATTTATAAAGCAAGCTTGTAATTACAAGAGTACATGTTTATCAATTAAAAGGAACAAGAGGCAAGATCCAGAATTTTATATGGTATTGTGATCACAATAATTTATGTAAAGGGGAACACACCAATAGAGTAAAGAATGTACATCAAAATTTTAAAAGTACATAATCTTGAGAAAGAAAGTTACATGTTTTGCTTCCCTCTTTCTTTCTATATTTTTAATGACAACTTGCTGAAATAATTACTCTAACAGTTTAAAAATACTCTAAAAAGAAAGCCAATAAAAATTATCAGATAATATTAACTTGTATTTGTATACTATTTTATAATTTACAAACCACATTCACACCTATTATCTCATTTGATAAGCAAAAGGTTATTATTTCATTTACAGAAGGGTTTCTAACCATCTAGCCTCCTAAGTGCATTTATTAACCAATAACTAACTAACTACATGCCTGGAAGACAGACAAAAGGAAAACTGAAAGCTAAAGGGGTAAGAACTACTGTGAATTGAATTATCAATAGTAAATAAAAAGAATTCTATTGCAAAAAAATAATAAACATGAATGAATAAAATTAATTCTAACCAAAATATTACCCCCCCCAAAAAAAGAGTATGTACTGTTTTACAGTACATTTTCAAAATTCTATTTCCAAACACCTACGTGGCTCAGAAAGAACTTCCTGGCATTGTTTTGCTTTGTTTCATTTCATCTTAAATTTGTTGGGGGCACTTTACTCTTGTTAAGTAACCTGCCTCTTTAGTTTCAAATGAACCAAAAAGTTTTTTTGTTTTGTTTTGTTTCTTTTTACATTAGCCTCTTCAGATTTAGAGTGCTTTACTTTTAATAATGTCTTCATGAAGGGAAAGACTATGTGCCATAGTAATTGATGAAAAACCCAAATTACGGAAATTTACATACCCACCCCACCCCCAAAAAATGAAGGGTAGCTGAGAAAAACTGACGAACTAAAATGGAGCCAGAAAAGAAGGAAATTGAGATTACAAATTAAAGGCAAACCAATAGTTAATGGAAGAGAAGGGTGAGGACTGGGGGGGGGGGGGGGGGGGGGGGCCCAAAAGCTGAAAAGTCATCAATTTCTCCACTGGTATAGCATAGTGCCTAAAGCCCTTGACTGCTAACCAGAAGGCTGGCGGTTGATTCAAACCCACCAGCCACTCCTCAGAAGGAAGGCTGGGCAATCTACTTCCGTAGTGATACTGCCTCTGAAACCCAAGGAGGGGTCACTATGAGTCCGGTCCGACTCGATGGCACATAACAACAACAACATGTGTGGTATGGAGCCATTCTGATGACAAAGGATGCCACCACTCTACCTTTGATTAGACCATGGCCACAAACAGAACATTTCAGGCCACAGCCACCTCAGAATCTTTGTGAAAACTCCAAAATGCTTTGTTCTTTACTGTTAGTAACACACCTCCCTAAGGAAAAGAAGATAAATTTGGGTGGATTCCAAAATGAGTAAAAGTGCCCAAAAGAAAACAAAAATGCTTGGCTCTTATTTTCTTTGAGGACATCAGCTGAGGAAGCACCATATCTACATTAACTCAATTGCTATCTTATCTTGCGCCGTCATTCCTACCTGCCAAAGAGTACTTTTCTTTGGGGACTCATCTTCATTCTGATCCTCCATAACAGAAGTGTTCTAAGGGGGGAAAAACAGGTTATTTGAATTATGCCAAGTTTCGCAAATCCTAAATAACTACACCAAGATATAACTTTGAAAGCCTGAGCTAGAATCTACCAACATGAACTCAAGAACTATTTGGCTTGTCACTAACACATGCCATTTTGTGTCAAAGATTCTGTGTTCATGTTTCATAAATCAATACAGTTAGTAAGTATAAAGTCTTTACTTATGAAGCTTGGGCATAAATTGTGGGAGTGGGGTTGAAGCTCTATCTCAATCATCACTGTTATTCCTTAACTGGTGGCAAAAAGGCCCAGAGACCCTCTTAAATTCCTGGTGATTGCACAGAATGTTTACTAGAGTGTCTGCTATTAAGTAATCCACCCCAACCAACAGCAGTTAGACTGAGAAATGCTTGGAAGTCCCCTGCCTTTTTCCCCCCTTGATAGCCTTGTTTTTCTGTTACGGCTTTGCAGTCTCCTCAAGCAAGCATGGTGGGTGTCCTTTTCCCCTTAATGGAAGGATGCTGTTAACCAACAGTAATCTG